AATAAACACTTTTAATGACTAAGGTAAAAAACAAACTTTTAAGATCATTATCAAAACCACTTACCAGTTCATTGATTAAAAGTAATAAACACTTTTAATGACTAAGGTAAAAAACAAACTTTTAAGATCATTATTAAAATCACTTACCAGTTCACCGACTAAAAGTAATAAACACTTTTAATGACTAAGGTAAAAAACAAACTTTTAAGATCATTATCAAAACCACTTACCAGTTCATTGATTAAAAGTAATAAACACTTTTAATGACTAAGGTAAAAAACAAACTTTTAAGATCATTATTAAAACCACTTACCAGTTCAATGACTAAAAGTAATAAACACTTTTAATGACTAAGGTAAAAAAACAAACTTTTAAGATCATTTATTAAAACCACTTACCAGTTCACTGACTAAAAGTAATAAACACTTTTAATGAATAAAGTAAAAAAACAAACTTTTAAGATCATTTATTAAAACCACTTACCAGCTCATTGATTAAAAGTAATAAACACTTTTAGTGACTAAGGTAAAAAACAGACTTTTAAGATCATTTATTAAAACTACTTACCAGTTCATTGACTAAAAGTAATGAACTCTTTAGATATAACAAGTATAACAAAAAAATGTTAAATTTTATAAAGAGAAATAGGAGCCCAACATATATGTAACCTAGCTAATTATAGTAATATACAAAGTTTTAATGATACAAAAAGTATTGAAATAAGAAAAACTGAGTTACTTAAAATTAAAAAATATTTACCCCTACTTTGGCTCAGACTAACATAACTATGGTGATTTACCAAAGGAGGGGTATTTTTTTAAAATTTTAAGTAACTCAGTTTCTGTAGTTTTGACTTTCTTGTTTCAATACTTGTTGTAGTATTTACACTTTCTATATTACAATAGTTAGTTAGGTTATGTATATATTAATCCCTACTTGTCTTTATAAATAAAAAAATACTTTATTGTATTTGTTATATTTTTATGTGCCAGCAATACCAAGCATGGGGCACGCATATACTTGATTCAATTTTATTACTCATCAGAGTCTCTACCAACTTACTCCCAAATCTAATTATATGCCCAAAGTAGCACATTGTCCATTACATATATATATATATACTAGAATCCTTTTCGGTACAAGAAAGGAATAATTGGGACTTCAGACGAAAAAGTTCTGTGATAAGGTTCCTCATTTTTTTGTACGCTTGTCTGGAAAAGTTGAACTAGTGAAAATTTTGATTCACGACATAAGCACGTGTATAACGATGTAGACAGCTTTACAAATACAGTAAGCTTTAGTTTTGCTCAGCTACTACTGTGAAGTAGTCATTGTTAATATCCAGACATTTTGTAGATGGTTTTAAACAGGCAATTTTGTTTCATCATGATCCCTACTATTAAGTACTACTGTATTTAACAATTGAAGCCTTCCATTAATAGCTCCTAACCATACATAAAACTTTGTTACACTTTTATAAAATTTAACCCATTTACTTAATTAATAATGATATAAATTATCCTAATTATGATTTAACTACTATCACTTCATTAATCAAAAGTTTGTAATTAACTATTCAGATGTTGATTCAAATAATTTATATTATAAGCCAATTAACTTTTTCACTGAATGGACATACACCCTCCTCTAGACAATTGTCATGGATACATAGATGGAACACTATGTTATTGTTGTTTCAGCCTTGAAATATGTGACATTAGACACATATTAGTTTTGATTTTTGTTCCCTCATGAAGAAAGGATATACCCTTTCAAAATTCTTAAACGTTTACAAGTTTTAAACTACAGCCAAGAAATGAAATATTAAAAAAATGTGTCTTTTGTTTTTATTTTGTATCTAAAAATCAACCTGATACTGGGAGAGTTGTTTATCTATTATAAATACGGTGATGAAAAAAAAAAGGAAAAGAGTTTAAAAAAAGCAGTAACTCTTCCAGTCCTTTCTTCAAACAATCTCATCTTATAGCTGTGTAAGAACTTTTTAGAATTCCATTAAACTACTCACCAGTTCACTAACTAAAGGTATTGACTTCCTCCTGGGTCGAATGTCTGGCATGGAATCAATATTACTGTAGAAAGGGTTGTCTTCAAGTCTGTAAAATGCAAGTTCATATTAATGAATGTATAAAGAACAATTATTTAGTACGCTATAACACAAGTACAATGTAACGTTACTTTAAAAAAGCGTGGGTATCCTTTCTACAATAATTCTTAGTAACTTAGTTTTACTGTAGTTTGTTTAATTTACAAATACACATAGACTTTTAAGTAACAGAGACATTTTCTGGGAGTATGTCATAATAAGCTTACATAATAGAATAATAAAATTACATAAGATAATGACAGTGTCACAACACAAAATGGTAGAGTATAATGCTGTTAAAAAATCTGTCTGTAGATTATATATGGAAGAAAGTCACCATCATAATGAAATGTCTAACGATTATAAATGTAGAAAGAATACGGTACTTATAATACGTATATATGAAACTGTGTACAAAGAAATATGATGATGAGATAACGCATGTCATTTTCATGATGTGACTGACATGAAAAGTGACGTGGGCTAACACTATAGGGAATAACTTTTTCTATTGCCTTCAAAATACCGGTTCAGTATTATGTTAAAATCAACTGCAGAGTATGCAGCTATGCAGTCAATACAGCATCTGTCAAAGAGACTTTATTGATCTTATTCATAGATGTGACAGCTTAATACTGGAAAATGCAATATATTAATTTTTTTTTTTGGTTTTATTTTAGGTTTAGACATCTTTAACTAACTTGATGAGGATTTTGGTATCAAATGGCAGTTTAAAGTACTATAATTTTCAGATAACTAGACACTGGTATTCATACTTCGAATGTACTTATGACCAGAAAAAACACAAGAGTCATGGGTTCAATGGGAAGAAACATTTCTGTGACATGTTTCTGAAACTGTATTTTTCATTGCTGTAATTTATGAGCATTCAACATGATGACAGATTTGTATTATGTTCTTATCTTTTGTCAATTTACATAGCACGCTAACCTATATTGCTTTTTATATAAACAGGCTCTTGAAATGTTTATGTTAGGACTTAGTTGATAAAAATGAATCATTGAAACAGTTCATATAAGCAGAAAATTACTTAGCATATACCTTGTGTACAAGAAATGGATTTTACTGTGGAGGTATGTTAAAGACAATGTACATTTTAGGCTAAACGTGAGCTAAGTTTTATTGTGGAGGTATATGAGAAAATGTCCATTTCAGGCTGAACATGAGCTGGGTTTTACTGTGGGGGTATATCAGAGAAAATGTCCATTTCAGGCTAAACATGAGCTGGGTTTTACTGTGGAGATATGTTAAAGATATGCAAGTAGTTTATATATATATATATATTACCTATCTTTTCCCAAACCATCAAGTAATAACTTGTTTAAAGGCCATAGTTGGTTCATGTGAAGAAAACAGGCACAGTTTGTATTTTGATTGCTTCTGAAAACTAAAAAGTATGAGCTTTTTGTTCAATTTTCAGTACCCTCTATGTTTGTATTTTACTAATTTAAACAAGTTTATTTTTTTCACATGATGATTTTTTTTGGCATGAAATTTTGCAAGTAATTCAAATTTTTTGAGCATGTACATAAAGCTGGTTCCTCGCAAAATCAACTTAAAACATTTAATGTGTTAACAGTCAAAGCCATGAGTAAACATAGGTATGGCATAATGTCTCACACTGGTTATCTCTCACAGCTGGACAGCTCTGTTCAAAGGGATCAGATAGCAATGTTTGATATAAATAAAAATGTAGGAAGAACAGTATGATAACTTGTCTAAAAATAGAATACTGTCACAACGATGTATACAGAAGGAATGCTATGAGAATGTACTTATTGAAGATGAAATATACAAAAAAAAAGAAGTGTCAAAATATGCTACAAAATAATTAAATATTATCCAGAATAATCTTACCTTCCACTCCTAGGCCACAAACTCTTTGCTGCATCTCTACCAACTGGACGTAGAGAACCTCCACTCTATAAAGAAATAAAAAATGTAAATGATCACTTGCATCCGCATTAGAAGAGAGGAAAGACATATTTTTTTTTATAAGAGAGAAGGTTAGCCTGAACTGGATAAGAAATTGGTGTAAGAGGAAAACAGGTAGTAAAAAATAACTAACTAAATGGATTCTACTGTGAGTTTTGTTTAGTTTTAAATGTTTTGTGAGAACATGAAAATTATATTAAAGCAAGAAAGAAATAAGCTTTGGAAATTCCAAGAGAAAAGGTGAAAAATTCATAGGTTGTTCAAACTGAAAAAAAAAAAAAAAAAAAAGGAAAAGACTGTAGATTAATTAGCATAATTAATTAAGGAATAATTAAAACTGGCTAAGAATTTTAAACATGAGAAAAAAAAAAGAAAGATGATTATCATCTGATAGTACGTTAAAAAAAATGAGCAAAGATGTCACTTAGCGACCACAAGGTGGGGGAGAAACAAATAACAAAAGGTTTAATACACTATGTTGAATCAATTATCATAGAAATTGGTTGGGTTTAGGAATAGGTGGAAAAGAAAAATAAACTAATGTTGTAAAAGTCTGTGAATGAACGTGCCAAGACAGTAATGTCAGTTTGGGTGAAGAGGAAATACAATGACTTCGAACTGAAGGATGCGAATGGGATATTTTAAGTGCTCTCATGCAAATATACAGAGAATCAATAAAATGCAAATACCAAACATAAGGCAACTGAAGTTGAACATAAAGTGGATAAAGGAGTGGTATTAAACGAAGAGTTACTTCTCTTCAGATAGCTTGTAGAGGATTTAAACATTGTTGAGAACTCATAACAAGATACAGTATGTGAGCATAATGATCAGAGTGGCTCCTAGACACCAGTGGTCTGCTAGTATTTCCATAGGTAGATATATATTAATAGGAAAATTGGAATCAATCTGTATCTGACAACTGAACATGTAGTTCTATTTGATATTGTATTCTTGTCAATAGATGGTAATATTCTCTGAAACATGCTAAGCTACAGTGGCAGTACTCCACGCAGAGTTAAGAAGTGTGTTTGTCAGTATGCAACACTAGAGAAATAAACATGCTATTCTCTGTTCTAACTTGCATGATAAACTTATAACAATTTTCCCAGTTATTTGGTGGAAATAAGTTCTGAAAACTTTCCCTACTGAAATAACTATTGGTTTGTTTGTCAACGAATAGAAGATAATGTTTCAAACTTTTTACTCTTTTTTAAGGCAACTGAATTTTTCGTTCTTTGCTTGTGCTGATTTTAAATGGGTTATTTATGGGTATAGGTTTTCATGTTTATTGTTTTCATGTTCCCAAGACCCATTGTAAGTGGTTTAAGGCTTAAGCATATCTTTCCATTATTTTTCTATCATTTTGTTTTACTTATGCACTCTTTTCCATTGCATCTATCCTTTCAACTGAATGACAATGACAGAGTTAGAGCTTTTACTCTGTGTAGTTATAAGTCAACAGAACAGCCAGGGGCAAAGTATCTAGATATGCAAAATGTAACCATAAATCATTAAAATCCCTCTAGCCTTAAACTTAAAGTAGCTAATTAATATGTAAAAAATGATTTTATTCCTATTAAAATATAGAGCCTTCATATATTTTAAAGTAAGCCCGCTCTATGTAAAGAAAATTACATCACATTCATAGTATTTATAGCCATTTTGTTCTTGTTGAAAAAACAAAATAAAATGTATGTAATCAATATAAGAGAAAACCCAATTTCTGGAAGCAATAGGGGAAGAAACAGCATAGTAGAAGTAGTATTCTCATTCTTGCTCTATTCAACAACTTCTATATATGTAATGGCAACATTTATAGTAGAGGCAGTATTCTTATTCTTCCCCTAACCAACAACTTCTATATGTAATGGCAACATTTATAGTAGAGGCAGTATTCTCATTCTTCCCCTAACCAACAACTTCTATATGTAATGGCAATGTTTATAGTAGAAGTAGTATTCTCATTCATCTCTCTAATCAACAACTTCTATATATGTAATGGCTATGTTTATAGTAGAAGTAGTGTTCTCATTCTTCCTCTAACCAACAACTTCTTTATATGTAATGGCTATGTTTATAGTAGAAGCAGTGTTCTCATTCTTCCTCTAACCAACAACTTCTATATGTAATGGCAATGTTTATAGTAGAAGTAGTATTCTCATTCTTCCTCTAACCAACAACTTCTATATGTAATGGCTACAGTTTATAGTAGAGGTAGTATTCTCATTCTTCCCCTAACCAACAACTTCTATATGTAATGGCTAGACTTGTAGTAGAAGCCACTTCTTACTCTTCAGTAACAAATTCCAAATGCAAATAATTGCTGTGTTGTAAAAGTTGATAAAAGCCTCTACAACGTAAAATATAAAACTATCAGGAAGATCGTAAAAAAAATCCTGACATAATACAGAAATAATCAACTTGGCAAAGTGAATGAAACCTGTTCTTCTCAACATTATAAAACTTGACATGGAAGTTTTTATTAATAATCTAGTATTTTTTTCATTGATCATGTGGTCGCTTGACCCACTCCAGGATCAAGTAAACTAGCTTACTGGTTCACCAGTTGCTCTTGGTTAACCCAAGAAAATAATAATTAACAATATATCGTATGAAAATTAATAATAAAACAATCCTTACCCTATTTTTGATGTGTCATTACATAAATAAGATTGATGAAAAATTACACTACAACTTAATCCGGTTCACACTATGACATCTGTTGCCAAGCAATTTGCTAATCTAAATAGCATATCAACCTACATCTGTTATATCCAAGTTGGCATTTGATATTGCAGATATAGTGTGCTTGACATAGCATAATACACTCTTCGTCACATTTATGCAGAAGTAATTAATAATAATTAACCAAAATATTGTTACTCTCTTCTCCTATTAAGGACATCAAAAAAAAAATGGCTTTGATACACTGGAATACTATCTACAAATTGGAATTTGTTACTTATTTGTTCACAATTGTGATCTTTACTGATGCAAATAAAGGATTTTTTTGTGTCACCTTAAACTGATGAAGCATTTGATATGGTGAGAACTGATATCAGTATGTCAAGCCACATCACACAACTACCATTTTGAAAGCAAACTTAGTAGTTTATCTCATGAAGATTATCAAGTTTTTAGCAATCTTAACAACAACAGTAACTGAGTCTTAACAAAACTAAAACAATTATTTTAAGTAAAAGTGGCAATATTAGTAAAATGAATTGTTTATAGAAAGACAGAAGTAAATTTACCAAATTAGAGACCAAACATAAAAACAAAACAAAGGTATATATGAACCTTTTACATTTGAATAAAGATGAAATTACATCAGAGAGTAGTGATAAGAAACGTTGATGAGTTAGTTCCCATGTTGGAATTATGTATGTTTAAACTCCTTAAATCAAATAGTCCCTTAAGAAAATATGACAAATTTATAATGATAGTGTAGAAGCTTTTTTTTTTAGTAAAAGTTTTTCATGTATATAAGACTAATGAAATTATGATTCAAGATAATTTTGATCTTATTTTTATTCTTTGTCAATTTGGTGTTTCAGAATAATGTGTATACTGCAGGTTCTGATGTAGATTTCTTTTTCCTTCCAATTTTAAAATATGTTCTTTCCAAAGATATTTTTTCTAAGTCAATCTAATTAGTAGTTAAAAAACTACATTTTATGTTTAAAGGATTTATTTATGATGAGGCCAGTATGGGAGTTAAATATCTATCTGCTATGGTTAACTTGTTTTTTGAGCTAACATATAATTAATGGGTTTGAATTGAAAAATTACCCATTTATTCTAAAATATTATTACAAAGGTTATGCTGATAATAAGTTTTCCACTTCACAGTTATAAGAACATGTTAATGATTTTTACAGCATTTAAATCATAAATGTTTAAAGTTGAAGACAAATCAAAACTAGCTTTTTTTTAAATATTATTTTAGTGCATAATAGGGTGTGCAATAGGTGCCTTTTATTATAAGAATTAATCTTATGCAGTATGAAACTCCTCCAATTATATCTTCAACTGCCACAAGCGAACCAAAGTTTGACAAAAAAGGTGTATCATCTCTCCACCAAATGAAACAGTTAATCAACGACTTGTCTGGATTATTTTGCTAATGCTGCACTTTCTATATCAAAATCCCAAAATTCTAAAATAAATAAATAAATGAGGACACCGCTTCCAACAGTAGTGAGAGAAGCTGACAGGTACTGTATTTTGGATAGAGCTGCTGCAGCCCTTACCTCAGCTGTTTTGGAAGATATGGGCATTATTAAAAAAAATGACAATGCTAAAATTGTCAATAAAAACAAGATACGATGCGAACGAGAAAAATACTGAGAAACATTACTGACTTCTGATGAATCAAATTGTTTTAAATCTTTCTACTTTGATGATAGAAAAGATATAACTGAACCTGTCATTAAAAATGGGAAAAACATTATAAATGTGTAGTCATGGAACAGTACATAACTTTGGTCAGTAAACCTGAATCAATTTTCATGAATGATATTTCTCCTTCTTCTGGAACATCAGAAGGTATAAAAAATTCTATCATTCACTGGTTTGAAGATAAAATTTCATCTGATCATTTAGTTGCCATAGGCTGTGACGGCACACATGTCAATATTGGAAAAAAAGCTTTGAGGTATGCGGCTTCTTGAATTGCACTTAGGAAGGCCTGTTCATTGGTTAATTTGTTTGTTACATGCAAAGGAGTATGCAACAGTTTAGTTTAATATCAAGAAAAATCCCTCATGGTTAACAACAGCAAACAGGTTTTACTTCTTTATTTTCACAACTGCTAACCCATCCAAGAGGCTTAATTGTTAGTGAGATATATAATTGAAGTGTATGCAACAGTTTGGTTTAATATCAAGAAAAATCCCTTATGGTTAACAACAGCAAACAGGATTTTACTTCTTTATTTTCACAACTGCTAACCCATCCAAGAACACAAGATATAATTTTAGAAGCCTGAAT